AAGAATCAAAGCCGAAGCAAAATTTTTTAAATAAAAAATAAACGAACCGAAAAGCGCTCAAATTTTCCGGTTTCGACTCGATTTTGCTCACCCTTACCGTGGATAGTGCCCCACGAGGGTTTTAGTTGTCACATTTGTATAGACGACCTATGTGGGTATAGGTGTCTAAGACGGCTTAAACTCTCGTATGGGAACTACCCATGGGGTTGAGAGAAATCAAGTAATCAATCGTATTTCACTCCACCATCATGACAAACTTTAGTCGACTAATTATGGTGACGTAGCATCTTCATAATATCTACTTTTTTTACTAAAAAATGTCATACTTTAAGATATAACATGAATATAAATGTAATGTAATAGTGTAATGAATGATTTAAGAAACGCGGGATGCTCGTTAGGTGGAAGTGTGGAGTTGTCTATTGTTGATGTCTAGAATTGACCAACAATGTGTTCGAACTGTATACTGGAGTGTATACTCTGTTCGGTCTGCACGAATAGGGATTTTGTGTGGTATTCGGTACAAAAGACAGTACGAATGTAAGCTCTATTCGTGACTTATTGGGTATTTTATTAGAGCATTTACTCATCGCATTTAATGTTGCCTCTTGCTCCTTATATAGGAAGTGTGAGGACTTGTTACATGCCAACTTTAGGCTTTCTTTTTCCTTTTTACTTTACAAGATATCAATTAGATATTTAGTCACACCACATTTTATGCTAATGTACTACAAAACACCATCTCAATAAAGCAAACTCGCTCGGGTGGCGACATGCATCCCAGATTACTGGGCACCATTAGATTGAAGATTACCGAATCCGCGCGCATTTAATACGTATCGTACGGCTTTTATTTTGGTGATGATGGTTGTTATCTGGACACGCTACCCATGTCTCGCTCGGTCCTCTCTTGGATTCGGTTCATTCCATTACTTATCGTCCCGCGACCTCGAGTGAACTTTTAAGTAATTGAATTTTCCATCCGTTCGGTCTATACCACGTACAAAGGCCCCCAGGTTCGGTAGGTACGGATAGGCTTGTATCGATCGTATCTGTCGGAGCTGCTTTATATGTCCCCATGGAGCCGAATGGGAGGATTGAACCAATTAAATGCTGTTTCGTGAAAAGTCGCGCCCCTTTGCATTTCTGAACCGACAGTCTCTGTTCCTTTCGTCGTGTCGCGATTTCATTGGTCCGATGATATTAATGGCGTGCGTGAAATGCTTCATTACCTCACACCGTTTCAGATCTGAATCATTTTGTCTTCTCAGAGGTTCAAATGTTCACCTATAAATACGGCGCTCCCTGAATTTAAACACTTTTCTTACTCAAACTTTTCCCAAATTCTTAGAACCTCTCGTGTTCCCAAGATCGAGTACTGCACATGTTCGTTCGTTTCTTCTGCAAAGTCGTGATCCTCGATAAGGTATTTTCTTTTTCTTGTCAGTGATCTTTTCTTCATGTAGGTTCTCTTTTTCTCCGTCAAAACATCGAACATGTCTACTCCCTCCAAGAGTTATAATGAAGAACAATATGAGGAGGCCCTTCAGGGTTATACAACCGGCCGAATGCGACTTCCCCTTCTCAAAGAAAACGCTGAGGAAGATCGCAAGATTGAGGAGTCGATCGTGGTCGCCCCAAGGGGATATTGGCAGCGACCATATCGTGAGTGGCCGACCCAGACCTGGTATACGCTCGCCTCAACGCCAAGCGACATGACTGACGACCGGGTAGTCAAGTTACGGACCTATATTCGGTTACCCAGAGGACTGCGAATGTTTGCTCTGTATAGGCGCGAACGTATTCATTGCCCACCTCCCGGGTATGTTGGAGTAGCCGAACGTCCATGGTGTTCGGCCTGAGATTCCCTCTGCCTCGCATCTTGACCGAATACCTTCGAGATTGGGGAATTGGTTTTAGTCAAATTTCCCCGATCGTGTGGCTAAGAATAATCAGCCTGCTCGTTCTTTTTCACGAAAAAGGTTGGGAAGCCCCCAACTGCGACGATATTCGAGCTCTATTCCTTTTTAAAGAGACGCGGAAAAGATCCGGACAATTTTGGATTTCTGTTCGAGAGGCGGCCTTCAGCAACCTGATTAGGAAGGTTCCTGAAACTATCAGCAAATACAAGAAGTCGTGTTTTTGGGTCGGCCGTCGATGGCAAACTGTTCGGTCTGAAGAAGATCCAGAGACGTCAGAATTTTTAACCGTTCCTACTAGATTTGTGTCTAAAATGGGTTAGTTTAGCCTTTTTCGTTTTGCTTTGGCCACTTGCCCTGATTTCTGTTATCTTGTTCATACTAACAAGTGCGACTCGTTATTTCAGCCAACCACAAGCACGTTCCAGAGTTGCGGGAATCCTTCGTTAAGCAATTGAGTGAACTGCTAAACTGGGACGATTCCTTAAGAGAGTGGCCCCTGTTAGTTGAAGACGCTCGTTTGGCTGGTGTTGGTCTTTGTTCGGGACACGTCGAGCCCGCTTGTGAACCAAGTAAGCGTGTTTGATTTCTTCCTTATTTTCGATTTCAGTTTCTTGCGTTCTCTCCCTACCCTTTTCCTCTTTTCATGTTTTGGTTGTCATATATCAACCGTTTGGCAACTTTCAGCCTATTACCCGCTAGACGATTTTAAAGGAGCCGGAACCGACGTTGCGGCCAAGAGGGTAGCTAAGGGCAAGGGGAAGAAAGTTGCTTCGAGCTCCCAGAAAAAACAAAAGAGACAAGAATCAACTAGAGAGATGGACCATTTGGCTATGCTGGAGAGAATGCAAGCGGCCGCAAAGTAAGCCGCAGCCAAACCGGTTGTCGAACAGCGAGTGGAGGTCATTGCCTCGTCGGGTGAGGAAGACGAACAGTATCTGCAGGATGTCCGCCAGAAAGGGCGTAAACGAGCCAGAATAAGCAGTAGTGAACCGGCTGGGAAAAGGTCGGGCTCGTTAGTACCCGTCGAGCAGGGATCCGCCATTGATCCTGGCAACCGAACGGAACAGATAGGCTTCTTCGGGAAGAAGGGCGTTCACGTTCATCAGGACGGGTCCAGTACCTACCTTCCCATCGAGCCGACGAGGGCTGCACGTTCTGAACGTTTGAAAGGGATAACAGATGACTGGTTCGTTAGGTTAAAATCCGTGGGGCATCTGCACATTTTGAATGCTGCCAGGTGGCCAGCTCACGTTCTCGAGTCGGCCGTGGTGCCGTTAATGGGCTGGGACATTGAGTCCGAACAGATGATTCAGGGGCTGACTCCGCTAAATGGAGCATGCGGCCGGTTCTTTGGGTCGGGCCATGTGCACGCAGGCCGCTGCTATGGCCGAATTTCGCAAGATCACTGGTGAGCTCATCAGTTTGAGGGCCGAACATGCCATTTGTGAGAGCAAGATCCACACACTGAGAGATGATCTGAAAAGGGCTGGCGGTCTGATGTACAAAATGGCCGAGCTGGAGGGAGAGATAAAAGTGGTCAAGCTTGAGGAGGCGAAGCTGTTGGCCGAGGTTGAGGTTACTGCCAAGCGGTTGAACGAGATTACTGGGGAGTTGGCTAAGGCTGGTCGTGAAAGAGATGAGGCGGTGGCCGAACGGGAGAAGCTCGAAGTCCGTTTGTCCGAGATGGCTAAATCGCAAGAGTCATTGGATGAGGCCTTCGAGAAAGGACGCAAGGCCGGCATGGACGACTACAAGAAGACCGAAGGCTATGCTGCCGACATTGACTTCAACGCCGCTCTTGGTTTGAATTGGGTCACTCATGCGATAAAAACCGGCTGGAAGAGT